TTAGTTGTCCAATTAATTTCTTTCTATTTTTAGTAGAGATGGGGTCTCGCTCTTGCTCAGGCTGGTTTTGAACTCCTGAGCTCAAACAATCCACCTGCCTCGGCCTCCCAGAGAGCTAGGATTACAGGCGTGAGCCACTGCGCCCGGCCTGATCAGTTTTTAAAAAGGGCAAAATGCTTAGGCCTGGGTCCCTGGGCCCTCTCTTTAGGGCTCTCTGACTGTGACCCTCCCCACAGCCAGGAGTCTGTAGGGTCACTGGGATGTGCCCAGAACCCTTTTCAGACCATGCTTTGGGGTATCTGGGACCAAGGAATTCCCTGCCCAAAAGGGTCTCAGCTGCTTCCTTTTCTGCTTGAGCTCTGTAGCATTTGAATTTTTGTTCCACCCCCATTCTAAATCTTTGAAAATGTCCTAAGTTTTAAATGACAATCAAGGTTGCTTTAAATCATATTTCTTTTATTATAACCAAGTTGTAATTTTTTCATATATTCATGTATTTCTTTAACTGTAACTTTTTTGTGTGCCTGGTTTTGTGTATTTGTCACTACATTAAAAAAATTATTTATAGGAATTCCTCTACTTGCAGAACAGAATGCAAATACCTTCCCTGTTTCCACCAGGTGACAAAGACCACCACTCCAGTCTAGGGCCACCTTGATGCAAAGTCAAGTCTTTAAGAATTCTGGAAAACCCAGGAAATTCCAACCTAGGCTATAATTTCATGTAAGAGTTGGTCTCATCCAACTCATCTTCACTTTGAGAGCATAGCCCTTTGAGGACCAGCCTTTTGGAGGAGGGCTCCCTTGGGACTCCCCAGCTTGCCTGGTCCCTAGGTGGTGTTTTCTATTTCTCCCATAAAGGGCTGTCCAAGAACAGTGTCAATGTTCTAGGATTGACAAGTGTCTTCAAGGCTAAAGCTCCCTCCCTGCTTATTTCACATCTCTGGCTTGGTACTTTCTTACTAGCTTGTCAGATCTTTGATGCTTTTAAGACTTTAAAAAAAAAAATTGAGTGCATATATCTTTTTGATAAAATGACTTCTTTTCCTTTGGGTAGATACCCAGTAGTGGGTTTGCTGGGTCAAATGGTAAATATTTGAGGAATCTCCATACTGCTTTCCATAGAGGTTGTACTAATTTGCAGTCCCACCAACAGTGTATAAGCATTGCCTTTCACCACATCTGTGCCAACATTTGTTGTTTTTTGATTTTTTAATAATTGCCATTCTGATAGGGGTAAGGTGATATCTCATTGTGGTTTTAATTTGCATTTTCCTAATGATTAGTGATGTTGAACATTTCTTCATTTTTTTTTCTTGGTCATTTGTCTATCTTCTTTTGAAAGACTTCTGTCCATGTCTTTTGCCCACTTTTTAATGGGGTTGTTTTTTTCTTGTTGATTTGTTTGAGGATTCTGGAATTAGCCCTTTATTGGATGTACAGTTTATGAATATTTTCTCCCATTCTGTAGGTTGTCTGTTTACTCTGTTGATTATTCCATTTGCTGTGCAGAAGCTTTTTAATTTAAATGTTTATTGCAGCACAATTTACAGTCGCAAAGATGTGGAATCAACCTAAGTGCCCATCAATTCATGAGCGGATTAAGGAATGTGGTGTATATATACCACAGAGTACTACTCAGACAAAAAGGAATAAAATAATGTCTTTTGCAGCAACTTGGATGGAACCAGAGACCATTATCTTAAGTGAAGTATCTCATAAATGGAAAAACAAACACCATATGTACTCTGTAATAATTGGGAACTAATCGATGGGCATACCTGAGCACAGAGAGATGCAAAAGTCACTGGAAATCATGAAGGGCGAAGAGGAGGGGGTGGAGGAGAGGAATAAAAACCTACCTATAGAGTACAATGTACACTATTTGGGTGATGGGCACACTAATAGCCCTGACTTAAACATTATAAAAGCTATCCATGTAACAAAAATATTTGTACCCCCTTAAAATTTTGAAAAAAAAAAGACTTAAAGAATATATATATATAACTAAGACAGGATAAAATATGTTTTATCTATATATTTATATTATATCAAAATATAAAAGTATATTTTATTATATTAAAATATAAACATATTTTATAAATATGTATTTATATATATTTTATCAAGTCTTAATTATTTCAGGGGAAGGTTATTGTGAATAACTTTTTAAAGAAACAGGAAATTTCTTCCCAGAATTTCTTTGTTGGCCATGATCATAGATATTTTTAATAAGGACAAACAAGTGATTCACCTGTTACAGACAGAGAAGCAACCTGGAATGCAATCCATTCATTCATTCACCTGACAAACATTGCTAAGTACCTACTACTATGTGCCTGTCACTGAACTAGGACTTGGGGAGACAGAGAGATGATTCTTTTCTTCCAGGAGCTCTGTGGCTACCAAAGTGAGAGCTACCAAAGAGGATTTTCACAGAGAACCTCAGGGACCCTCAGATCAGCCACTTCCTCAGACTGGGGGTGGTGGCGGGTGGGAGAGAGTAAAAGCAGGATTCCCTGAGGACATGACATATGAGCTGAGGTTTGAAGAACTGGCAGAATTCATTCTCGCAAAGAAAAAGGACTGTCAAAGGGCATCCTGGGCTAAGAAAGCCGTATGTGTGAGGGGAAGGAGACACGAGAGGAAGTGGCACGACTGGAAGGGCAGTAAGGAGTAGGAGAAATGGGGTGGTGAGGCAGAGAGGGTCAGATCAGGGGGCTATGGTGTGTGTGTGCCTAACAGCCTACATTTTATCCTCTAAGCAATGAGGAACCATGAAAGTGTTTTAAACAGGAGTAATATGATCCAGTTGGCATTTTAGGAAGACTACTGCAGGGCCTGCAAGGAGAGTCACTTCCAGGGGCACGAGATTGGTGGCCAGGACACCAGTGAAAAGGCCACTGTGGTTATCTGGTCAGGAGGTGGTGAAGGGCTGAGCTGGGGCAATGAGTGGAGAAGATAGGTTTGACTCATTTTTATTTATCTTGCCAGGGAATTATTGTGATTCTTTAACCCAAAATTCACGTTTTAATTCTGAAAAACTCTCAGTCATTATCTCTTCAAATTCTGCCTTTCTCCCATTCTTTCTTCCTATAATTATTAGCCGCATTTGGACCTTCTCATTCTCGACCCCATATCCCTTCTTTCCTCATCTTTTCTTTTTATCGCTAGTGTTACATTTGGTATAATTTTTTCAGATCTGCCTTCCAGTTCATTAATCCTGCTATTGAACTAGCCATTATAATGAACCAGGTGTGACACCTTGGGCAAGTTACAAGAGGGATTAACTCTGTGCTTCAGTGTTCTCATTTGAAAATGGGGATAACAAAACCTACATCAAAGGGTTATTATGAAGATTTGATGCATTAGGACAAGTAAAAGCTGAGAATGATGCCTGATACAAAGTAAGTGTTCAACAAGTATTAGCTATTATCTTTATTATTTCGTTTCTGGAAATAATTTCCATTTCTATTTTATTTTCTTTAGTGTTCCAGTTCACTGAGTACAGATTAATGCATTGCCTTAACATGAAAACTAAAGTGAAGTTAGTGTTCTACTTGACAAATTACAAGTGTAGACTCTTCTGGCCAGTATTTCCCTAAAGTTTTAGGCCATTCTTCTACCGACCATTGTCATTCCCATTCATTTTTGTAAAAATTATGTCAGAAGGAACATAAGAGTACAGATTTATTGACCTGTTCTTCACCTTTTGACCTGTGACATGAATAACATTTATAGGGTAAATACAACACAGGGCCTCTAACAGCAGCAGTTGATAATTTTATAAGCTCTGCACTTTAAAGTGATTGCAAGAGTAAGTGTTACTAGATAATTCACTAACGAGTCAGAAAATAATTTCCAGTGGGTGAGTAGGAATGTGCTGTCCTCCTTTTAAATATCGTTCTTGAATGAAGCAATACTACCTTGGATAAGCTGCTTATATAGTCTTCTATCACCCCCAATTTAGAGAATAGAAAAATAGGAGTTTACTTATATGAAGATGATGTGGCCACATTATTTAATTAGTAAAAGAATGACTCAAGAGCAACTATTTTAAAATCAGTTATAACTTTTAGAAGACATTCTTCTCTAACATTTAAATGGCTTATAGGTAATAATCGTATATAACAAGTCAACTTATTCATCAATACCTAGAATTCATTTTAGAAGACATTTATCTTAGGCGAGTCAACAGAAACTTACAGTGCTCAAAGTCAGATATGCTACACTAGCTAAGGAAGGTATTTCATAAGATCCCCTTGAAAATAATTTTCAAACAATGATTTTGGCCACATTCCTATGTGGCACTTGTGAGGCCTATCTTTGTGTTAAAGTCAACCCAAAGGGGAACTTGGAACTTGAATACTTTTAAAATCATGGCATTCAGTAGCTTGGGAAAGCTGCAGAAAAGAAACTAGTGAACCTGAGGTGCCTCCTGCTGACTTCGCAGGCACAGGGTTACAGCTGCAACTCTAGAGACACCAGAATGGTGACATGGTCCCTGAGGAAAAGCAACAACGTCTACAAAAACTCAAGTAACCTCCCCTCAAAACAAACAATGATAAAACCACATAGCTAAGTTGTATTTTTGACACTGTTTAAATAGTAATTGTTATTAATAATATCATGACTTGATTACCTAATACTTAGGAGAAAAAAAAAAACCTCTACAAATGAGCTGAAAAAATCTGCTTTCAGGCAAATAACGTAACTGAGGAAAGGTAAGCAACATAAGCCTTCATAAGTCTACCTGAAAGAAGCATATGTCTTGCTGTATGTAAATTATACTTGCTACACCCTTGATCTGCTACATTCAAAGTAAATTCTGTGCAAAATTCTCCTATACTGATAGCTTAACCTTAAAAAAAAAAACCCAAAAACCTATATTGCATACTATTAATATGTGAGTGCACAATTAAAAATGCAGAAGTGAGGTAAACTAAGAACAGGGTGTTCAAAGTGCTGGGGAAAGCAAGAGGAAATAAAGGCAAAAGATGAAGCCAGTTTTTAAAAAGGTGTTTGTATCATGGTGCAAAATGATGCAAGTATATAAGCAGACAACAGCTCTAGCAGCAGGATTTAGAATAGATTTGTAGGAGAAAGGAAACAGAAGGGTGAGCTCAGAAGATTAAAGATTCGATGGCAGCCATGAATATTGGCAATGTTATACAATTGACATCCATTTTAAGCTTTTGGGGATAACAAGAAGAAAAAAGGAGACATTCGAAAAGTTATGACACATCTCTGCTCAGATTCCTTAGCATTCTTTTTATTACGGTATATAAGAACCTTACCATTGGCCTTAATCCACTTTTCCTGTCCTGTTTTTGTCATTCTTTCCCCACATGTTACACTTTACACATAAAACTATTTGCCACCCCCTCAAATTACCATGGTTTTGTTTACAGGCTGTTGTATAAACTGTTTCCTCTGCCTAAAACGTTCTTTCCTCTTTATTCTACTTCTAAAATGATCCTTTAAGGTCCACCTCAAGTGGAACGTTTCAGGCTCCCTGACATCTCGTTGGCCCCTTATCTCTGCTCCTCTAACCTGTGCGTGCGCTTTTCATTGAGCATACCCTCCACCGTCCGGCAATAATTTGTGCACACCTGCTTCCTTATCCTGCCCTTCACTGTATCCTGCCTGCATCCTGTCTGGATCACTGCAGCAGCCTCGTAACCACAGAAACCAGTTCAGTCTATAACAAAATGCAACACAATGATGAGTTGTTTTGCAGCGCAACAGATTCCCAGCTTGGCAGGCCGTGTAAACTGAGCATGGCCAGGTGAACCAAGCATGCCTGACCTGTGATCCCAGGGCCCGCCAGAAAGAAAAAGGCAGCCATAGGCAGAAACTAAGTACTCAGAGGAACAGGGACTGAATTAAGAAGCAAGTTGTGTCTTGTTTTGTTGCAATGTGAACTTAAGAGCCAAGGACTCATCACTACCCCTTTGCATGACCTAATTACATCACATCTCACAGCATTTTCTCATCTCTCCCATAGTAACTCTCTGCCTATAAAATCTGGCCCCTAGACTCCAGCTTGGGGAGATAGATTTGAGTGTTGCCTCCTGTCTACTTGCTAAGTCGACCTGCCACAAAGCCTTTTCTTTTCTCAAAAGCTGGTGCCATGGTGTTGGCTTCTACATGTGTCAGACAGCAAGCCCATTGCTCGGTAACAGCCTTCTCACAGGTATCCTGGCCCCCAGTCCCAGGCCCTGGAAGTGTTTCTCCCTGCGAGTGCTACAGTGGCCTTCTTAAAATGTTGATTGGATCATATCACTCCTGCTTATACCATTTTAATGGGTCCCTAGGCTAAGAGACAGAAACAATATTATGGTCACATTTATAGCCCAGGGACCATGGCAAAAGAATCTTAAAACGGTTCAAAAGGAAATAAGTTTGATAGAAAAGTAAGAAGAACCTGGGAGTCACCCAATGCCAGGAATACAGATTTCACCCAGTAAAGTATATTTAATAATATAATGAAGAAAATTATAATTAAAAAAAGCACAGAGAAAATTCTAGATTAGAATGATGATTACTGAGTTATCACCCTAAACTTGCCACTTATCCTCAATTGCACAACAGGCAGTTGATTCCAGGTGGTTGATTTGGGAAGGGAAGAACAGTAAATTAAAAGAAGCACTGCACAATGTGTCTTCTTTTCTTCATTAGACTGCTCTATGATTTAACTCCAAAATCCTAGAAGTTCAGTGAATGGCTAAAAAAAAATTTCTTCCAGTAAGAGGTACAAATCAAGACAGGCTACTTGGATTTTGCTGTCATTTAATTTACCTAGAGAGTACAGGAATATTGAACAATAGGTTTTCTAAGCCTTCAAATAAGGCTTGATAAATAAGGATTGATAAAATCTTGTGGTATACTCCTAAGATTCACGTTGATTCCGAGAATATAGGCAAGCATCAAGATGTCATTAAAAAGCTTAAATACAAAACAGATAATAACTTAAAATACTGCCTCTAAAACCAAAAAATAGGACCTTTATAATTATTTTCAAAAATTTTCATGATCCTAATAAACCTGAAGAGTTAAATATGTGGCTATTCAATATTTTAAGAGCTAACGTGGGGAAAAGATCAAAGTACAAACCTTTCAAGTTAATCTTATGCTTCATAAAGGTTTTCTTCTCATTGACAAAATCCCAAACTACCCACACGGAGAGTGCAGGACCTACCGTGCTGCTTGTAAATCTGTTTGTGTAGGCTGTGATGACACCACATTTGCTTCCAGTAAACAGCTGGCAACTGTCAGGCACCCAAGCACAACTAGTCACCTTTGAAAAAAGACAAATCAAAGATTATCATGTTTTAAAAGCACAAGAAATGCTTCTACTTTTCTGACAACTATTTTTAAAAATCTGAAAGTTTCAGGTAAACATTGCACTTAAAATGATTAGAAAGGTACCAGATAGAATAATAGAGTATTCTGTAACTGTAAGCCAAATGCCTAAA